CTGTGGGAATGCATTGTTGGCCAGATTACAGTGGCAGAAGAAATGTTTCATTGCGTCGCTGCCTAGCTACTTGCTGCAGACGGGAGTCGTGAACGGACAAGCGTCTCCTGCATCCGCGTGGGGTAGTCCCCAATGGCGTGCTATGGCTGCTGCTTTTCCGAAAAGCTCCGGCGCTGGTCACCCTTAATTACTCAACAGGTTTTCAATATTGTTCTGTAGTATTATAAACGCTTTAATGTGTCATAGTAGCTCGCCTGAGTAACCTATCACGACACATCCCTGCAGAGGAGTCGTGGGCTCGCAGACTTGGGAGCGGTTTTGTAGAGTAAGGCGTGTGCAGCGTAGTTCGGTACTATCTAAGGTGAAGCACAACGCGTATATTCATCTACAGCGACGTATTCGAAGAGAAATGGCTGGAAACCGGTCGTTCTAACACTCTGTGAGCAACAGGTATGGGAGGCCAGACAACGGTGAGGGCCAACGGTCAGGGAGGCGAGTACCAGCACTTGCAGCGTAAAAATGCTTTAGCAGAGGGAACGAAGGGCTTGCCTAATTATCGTGCGTCTGAAACGAAATATTAATGAGAAAAGAGTGCGTGGGACGTCGGCATAACGTGAATCATGAGGCGTGCTCCGTCCCCTCGTGAGCGAAGGCGCCCACTGACTGAAGATCGTCGCATCTCCATATGAGCGCGCAAATCGCCCCAAAACGGGGTAAAAGCCTTTCCATAGCTCTTCCCTGTGTGGGTTCTGCTGACGCTGATGCTCGGGGTAGCCCAGTAGCCCCAAAACCTTCGTTGTACTGACTTGCTGTCGTTTCGGAGCGTGACCCCACAATGGGAAATGAGCACCATAATGGGCGGGCAGGACCTGCTTTCAAAAATTCGAGTGCTCCGAAGAAGATAGTATTTGCTAATACTATGCGGGGACATGGCCCCGGCAAAACTGAAGCCACAACCCACTTTGACAGAGCCCACATTTGCTGTTTGCAGCGACTCCGATCAGGGTGGGCATACTCAGCGCAGTCGAAACAACCAGTTCTACATTTCTGAGCGATCTCAACTACCTGATTTGATATAAGCAGTATTACCAAGCGTTTTGGTTGACGATAAGTTGAGCGGATGAGAGTAGAAGGCAAACAGAGCGGGTACGGAAACAAGAACCTGTGCTGTACATGATGACTACGCACCAGGCCAAGTTGCCACTGTCCACTCGTCGGCAACATGCCGGAGAACCAGCAGAGCAAGATTTTCCGCGATGACTAAGCACCAGGCCAAGTTGCCACTGTCCACTCTTCGGCAACATGCCGGAGAACCAGCAGAGCAACATTTTCCGCGGAATCGCTCCAAATTTCCATAAATTGGATTTTTGCAAACTTTTGTAGACGTTTCGAGTCTTTTATATGACTTCAGACGGCGGTGTAGCAATATTCTGCGAACGGTAAGGCGATAGGAGACACACACTGCCACCTCAGCTAGCCCTCCCGCTAACCGGGGTGGCCTACGGGACCAATATGCACGAGATCTCAAAAGGTAAAGCTCTTTGTACTTGGAGAGGCTGTAACCTGAGGGTGTCCCGCCAGGCACTGAGGTTAGGCTACGATGCGGGGCATAAACTGAGTATGTACACACCATGTGTCGCCGAGCTATCTTCGAAAGAGAACCCACAATCCACACGGAGCTCTGCAGCAGGGAGCAAGAGAGGAGCAAATGCAGGAATGTAATGTCCAGAAAGAAACCCCGAGCGGCTGCGTGAGGTGTACTGACTCTAAAGGGGCTTGTGCACGAGCAAATTGCAGGAGGTGCTGGGAAGAAAACATTTCAGCACTCTGTGAGCGACCTGCAAAGGAAAAACCGCTTTGAGTCGTATGTCTCTACAATAAGGACGCCTCACCCGCAATGAAGTTCGCTGCTGCGTAGCTACTACTGCACGGACACGTAAACACGAAGGGC